ATAATTATTTTAGGAATTATGCATTATTGATGTTTTTTAAATTGAAATGTTAAAAAAATGTCATGTACCCCCACCAGTATATTCCAAAGTACACCTAGGGGTACACGTACCCCCATTTGAGAAATACTGATTTAACTGACAATATTTTGTATTAATGATTCAGTTATACTGCTGGGTTGTCTAAAAGCTTTTACTACATGTTGTCAGTTGGTGTCAGATGTTTTCACTTAATGTGCCTGATTAGACTGCTTCTATGGACTGAGTGGACATAGGAAAACACACTGTGCTTGATTGAAACTTCCTTCAGACTGTTAGCTTTGCTGCAGCTGCAAGGGCGGGATAATTTACATGTTTATTATTCTTATTAGTACATGTACTTTTCACGACCTTACATAATCCCTAACATAGCTCTGCCCATCTTCAAACTCAGAGGAGGTCTGATCGGCCAGAATAAGTGAAAACACCTTCTCCACTATTTCTGACTTTGGAGACTCCCAGACCCAAATACACTAAGAATGAAAGGCTGAAAGCAACTATATACTGCATCCATGTATTACAGATGAGTAGCGGCATGCCTTGAAAATAAATGAGAGTAACCGATTGCAGTAGGTTGAGGTATCAAAAAACGTTGAAAAGCTCAGAGTTGGCTTGACTTGACGTAAAACGCCAGCAGTAGCATTAACGTTCTTCTTTGCTAATAAAGTGTATGTAATGGAAATCCCACTATTATTGTAGATGGACATGATTGGTCACTATCGGCATAGATTTGATTGGTATGATACAATTTCCTCATTGATTACTTCCCTTTACAGATCACTTACAAGAAACATCTGACACCATTAGGTTCTTTTCTAATAAGTCAAGAGCTATTTAAATACAGACATAGAAAACAAACAAGACAGAAGTGCATTGATACAATTAATAAATAAAAGCATAAGAACAACAGCAAACGCACACAAATAATTTGCTTCCGGGTATCTGCCTTCCCTGCTTGAAATGAACATTGACCTGCTGTGTTGTTAGATGGAGGCGATTGTTCCTATTGGTGCCAAACAGAATTCTTCTGCAGGTACTTTCTAGGTTATATGATGTCAACAACATAGATATATGTAAATATATGCTGCAGTTGTAGTGTAAACAGCCATTACAATTCCCAGACCAATTGTAATGATTGATTGTAATGACTTTGTTGAATCTTAAAGGCATATATGGGAATTGCTAGAGATAACACCCCACTACAAATGAATGTGACTGTGACTCTGTTTACTTTAAAATAAATCAATTCAGTGGGTTTGAATACCGCATGTAAAAGGCATAACCACTAACAATTTTGGTTAGTGGTTTTGACCAGTTTGGATTTATGGAAAATGCACAAATGCGTCATGTAATGTCAGAAATGTGCTCATTAAACGAATTTGTTACTGCTGAAGTTCATGCAGATAAATACTGGGGAATACTGATGAAAAATTATAATGGAAGTGTCTTCATTTAATTCTGAGTGGTGGTGTAAAACTTTGAGCAGCCAGTTGGACAGTTTCATCAATAGCACGGGTTA